GTCTCCTTGAGGCTCCAGGCCCGGTGAGACGGCGGTGGCGGGGTCACTGTGCCCGCTGCACAGACGAGGGAGGCCGAGGGGCTCGGTGCCTGGCTCGGAGTCGCCCAGCCAGGAACTGAGCGCGGGAAGCCAGCGCTCCTGGCGTCCGACTCAGCCTCGACGCCACGGTGTGCTCGGCGCGCTGGACTCGGGTCCGGACTTGGGAATTTGGGTCCTTCGTGGGGGCCCATGCCACGCCCGAGGTCCGCTAGCTTGTCCCCCCCCTTCTGCACCCCCCTTCAGGCCCAGGGCAAGGGCAGGGGGAGGGACGGAAGGCGCAGAACTCGCTCACCCCCCCCCCAGCCAGAACTCGGAAGGACACGGGGGGGGGGGGGTGCTGGTCTGACCCCGGCATCTCCGCCCCCCTGGGTCCCCGCGCGCTGCCCTCTCCCCTGGAGGAGCGGGGCGAGCCCACATTCCACGTCTGCCTCCCAGGCCCACGGAGGGAGCGCGGGCGGGTGGGTTCCGGAGCGCGGGGTTCCCCAGGAGACGGCTCGCCTGGTGCTTCCAGCTGTCTCCTCCGGGCGCCGGTCCTCCCTCCCGGGGCGGCGTCACGGTGGGCGGCAGCCCCGGAGGAAAGAGCAGACGAGTGAGTGGCCTCTATGTGCGCCTTCCCTGCTGCCGGGTCTCCCCACATCCAGACGCTGCCCTCGGGGGTGCGCCGTGACCGGGCACGGAGGACCGCCCGGGAGAGCGCGTGCGGGGCCCGCGGTGCAGAGGTCCCGACCGGAGGCGCACATTCGGGCGCTCGGCTGACACCTCCCTTCCCAGGGGTCCGGCCCGCAGGCACCTGGCCATCCGCTCCCCGCTGCGCCCCCTGTTGGTGGTGGCGGTGGCGGTGGCGGCGCTGTCCGGCCTGTGCTGCCCGTGCCCCGCGCTCGTCCTCCGCGTGCGGGCCGGCCGCCTCCCGCTCACTTCGCCACCTTCGCGCTGCGCGTCCCCTCGCACCTGCTCGCCGGCGCCCCCCTCCCCCCGGCGGCCCGGCCTCGCGCCAGGTTCCCGGGCCGCCCTGGCGGGACCAGAAGGTCCCCGACGGCAGCCCAGCAGTTAATGGGACTTAGCGGGCACGTGTGTGGGTTCAAGGACTGGAGTCAGAGGGCGGGGAGCGGGTGGATGGTTTCCTCTGTTAATGAAATGCGCAAACCATTTCACGCGCAGTGGCGCGCTGGCTGGAGGTTCTGGGGTAAGGAGTCTCCGGGCCCTGCCAAAACCGGTGTGACTCATGGATAGAGCACCGGTCTGCAGACTGAAGGGTCCCAGGTTCGATTCCGGTCAAGGGCATGTACCTTGGTTGCGGGCACATCCCCAGTGGGGGGAGGGGGGGTGCAGGAGGCAGCTGATGGATGTTTCTCTCATGGATGTTTCTAGCTCTCTGTCCCTCTCCCTTCCTCTCTGTAAAAAGAAAAAAATCAATAAAATAAACTAAAATAAAAACAAGTCTCCGGGCCTTCACAGGGCGACCTTGGCTGATTGGGTGTGGGGATTAGAAACCTGCGTGGAAATCCCCGAACGCGCGAGGCTGGGGAGCGCACCAGGCGAAGGCTCTTTGTGCGCGGTCATCTGGAAGCGCCGGGGCAGAGATCGGCAAACCCGCCGCCGCCGCTGTGCGTGGCCCAGGCAGGCAGGTGGCCACGCCCTCCATACAGGTCAATGGATGACGACGCAGACACTGTGTCCCTAGTAGCGTTCCTGCGCCCGTGTGTGGCGGGGCCTCGGCTGCTCCCAGCTCCCTGCGCCTTCCGGGTCTCAGCAGCCCTCTCCGTCCTGCAGACTGTAAGCCTTGGGTGTCCTCCCTGAGCTGCAGCTGTCTGGGCCCAGGTCTCCAACAGCTCGGTTCTTCTTTGGGACAGGAAAGTCGTCCCCACCTCGGGTTCTGGTCGGGGACACACCGGTGGCTCTGAGGCCCTGCTGCCTGGCTCAGGCTGAGAATCTGGTCCGCGAACAGGACCGCCCTGGCGCTTCGCTCTTGAACTAGCCCCGCCTGTCCCCGTTCCCGCTCCTGGAGTCCTTGGGCCACGGCTTTCCACGTGAGGCCGGTGCAGTGTGGAAGGAGAGGCAGGGCACACTCTCAGAGGCTGTGCCATCTCACGACGTGGGGTGCAAGGCACTGGGAGTTTTCAGCCAGGCGGGCACCACCATGGAAGGCACCTGCCTAGACCGGAGGGACCAAGGCAGGGTGCGGACGGAGCGGCTCTGTGCTGGCCAGGCCCACTTTGCTGGCCGTGAACTGGTAAGTGGTTCCAGGTGGTGGAAGTGGAGCGGGACAGACAGGGAGGGCCAGGCAGGTGCAGGGTGGGCGGGCTGGGCCCTGGGCTTTGTCTCCGGTGTTTGCAGAGCCCAGGGTGGGGTGGGGGTGCCAGGCCCAGGGCTCCAGGGTCATTGCACAGAGCAGCTGCCTTGACCAACGGCTCAGTCCCCAGAGAAGAGCCTGAGACAGGTGCGGCCTGGGCACTGCTGCCCACCTCCCTCTGCAGCCCTGATGCTGGCCCTGCGGCTCCTGCTCCCTCTCGCCTTGCTCGGGCTCGGCACCACGAGGCCCTTAGTCCCGGGCCCCAGCCTCCGCGCACCAGCGGTTGGTAGGTGAAGGGCGCAAGGTCAGGAGTTTTGGGATTTGGGCCCCAACGCACCCAGGCGACCTTGACCTCCACCCCTCAGCCTGGCCGCCCTCCGGCCTCAACTCCCCCCTGGAGGTTCACGAAGGCACCCAGATCCCCAGCAACGGGAGCGCGCCCCTGCTCGTGGCCGTGCAGGTGTTCGTGACAAACGTGTTCAACGTGGTGAGTGTCCTCCGGCCAAGGAGGGCGGGCTGTGCTGAGCGGGCATGGGACGGGACCCAGACTCTGGAGTGCGGCGGTCCTGCCCTCCGGGTCCTGTGGCAGCGGCCCTGGGGTGACGCCGGCGCCCTCCCCAGGACATCCTCCGGTACACGGTGTCCTCCATGCTGCTGCTTCGCCTGGTGAGAGCCCGGGGGGTGGGCAGAACCCGCTCTGAGTCCGGCTCAGAAGTACCGCCTTCACCCCGCCAAGCCGAGAGGCGGGTACGGAGCCTGGGCCTTAGCCGGGCCTTGTGTCCCCAGTCCTGGCTGGACCCGCGCCTGGCCTGGAACACGAGTGTGCACCCGCGGCGCGTGCTCACCCTGCCCTGGGACTCCCTGTGGACGCCGGGCCTCACCATCCAGGAGGCGTGAGTTCCCGTCCCAGGAACTGCTGCCCGTCCCTGCCTCCACCCCTCCCCCGCCAGGCCCTCAGCGAAGGCCCCTCCCGGTGGCCCTGGCACACCGCCTCCTATTGGAACCCTGAGGGTAGGGGGTGGCGGAGGGCACTGGGGCTCCGGCTGTGGTGCCTCTGCCCGCAGGCTCTGGGTGGACTGGCAGGACCCGAGTCCACGGGCCCAAGTGGACCAAGATGGCCACGTGGAGCTCTACCTGACCCTCACCACGGAGACCAACTGTGACTTCGAGCTCCTCCACTTCCCCCGAGACCAGAGCAACTGCACCCTCAGCTTCTACGCCTTCAGCAATACCGGTGCCGACCTCGGGGGTCGTGTCCACACCATCTACCCCGGATAGCGGGCCCGTGTCCACACCATCTACCCCGGCCCAGAGGAGCTGAACGGACCCAGGAGCGGAACACGCTTCCCACCCTCACCTCCCACTCAGGCAGCAGCCCGTGGCCCCGTGCTCCCTGCGGCCCCATTTCAGTCTCCTGCTCCACCTCAGCTAGAAAAGCAATTGCCTCCAGCCGGGCCAAGCTGCAGCGGCCGGGCCACCGTGTCAGCTCAGGCTGCCGCGGCCTCGCCCCTGGAGTCATCCTGAAAGTGCAGCCACCAGGCGTGGCGGAAGGCCCACCTTTCCCTGACACCCTCCCCCCGGGAAATGCCACAGCGGCCGCCGGGAACCCTAGTATTTCAGGTGTGAGATGAGACACTGGTGGGTGAGTCAGCAACGGCGCCCCCTTCAGGAAGTGGCGCAAAGTGCATTTATTTTTACAATGAAAATCCGTCGGAGTCTGAAAAGCCCTTCCTCTGGAGAAAACTGGAAGGGTTTGTGGGGGGAATAAGGTTGGGAAAGCCCTTGCATGGACTAGTGCCACCTCCAAGTCTGCCCAGTAGCCACCGTAAGTCCCCATCACCCCGGGCACCGGCTTGTGCCTGCACCTGCTCCCAGGAGATTGGGGGCAGCCGTAGTCCTCAGCTCACTGCTCTCCCCTCCCTCTCCCAGCGACGGAGCTGGAGTTCCGGCCCCACGTGGTGAATGAGATTGTGAGCGTCAAGAGGGAGTATGTAGTTCGGGATCTGAAAAGCCAAGTCCCGCCCCAGCAGCTGGTGCCCTGCTTCCGGGTGTCGGTGAGTCCGCAGGTGCTGGTGAGGGTGGCAGGGGATAAAGAATGCAGAGCCGGAGGCATGGCATTGCCCTCTAGTGCCCACTCCTGCACATGCCCCCAAAGCCCCACCTATCCTTCCAGCTGCACCTCCAGAACACAGCGCTGAAGGCCATCCTGGCGCTGCTGGTCCCGGGGGAGGCGCTGCTGCTGGCAGACCTGTGCGGGGGGCTGCTGCCCCTGCAGGCCGCCGAGCGCACGGCCTTCAAGGTGACGCTGCTGCTGGGCTACCTCGTCTTCCACTCCTCCCTGGTGCAGGCGCTGCCCAGTTCCTCCTCCTGCAACCCGCTGCTCAGTAAGCCCGTGCCCCCTGGCCTCTGCCCGCTCCCTGGGCACTGCAGGCACAGGCTGGCCCCTGATGGGCCCCGCCCCTCCCCAGTTCACTACTTCACCGTCCAGCTGCTGCTGCTCTTCGCCAGCACCATGGAGACGGTGCTGCTGGCCTGGGACCACCGGAGGGCCAAGCGCAGCCCCGGCCCAGCCCCGAGAGGGGAGCAGCAAGCTCCTGAGGACGCAGGGCCTAGTCCCGAAGGTGGGTGAGGGAGGCAGCCGGGAGCAGGTTCGATGGGGCTGAGCTGGCAAGCTGCACCGCTGGGGGTGGGATCAGGGTCGCTGGACTAGAGGCCCTGGCACTCACTCTGCCGGCCCGTCCCTGAGCTTCACGTCGGCCCTGGCAGCAGCAGGCCTGAGCAGGGAGCGAGGCGAGCCTCCCTGAAGGCCTGGTGACTGCGCTCTGTGAGGTGACCCTGAGCCTGAGCCTCTCTACAAGGGTCAGCCCACCGCCCTAGGCACCTATGGGAGGGAGAGGCCTGCTGCCAGTGCCTGGGCTCCTACTCGGAGGGGTGGGGCGAGCCTGGAGTGCAGCCCCTGCCCCTGCCTCCCCCACAGGGGCCACCGGAGGAGCGGGGTCATGGAGGAGCAGGGCCGAGGCTGCCGACCACGCCTTTTTCCTGCTCTACCTGGCGGGGGTGGCGTGCAGCCAGTTCGTCTTCATTGGGCTCTGGATGTGGGCGACGTGCAAATCTGACCCAGCCCCTGGCAAGGCCGTACCCCACGGGGGGCAGCCGCAGCTGTATCAGGGCAGGGCCGGGGGTGCAGACCTGGGGTGGGCCTGACAGGGCCTCTGGAGACAGGATGAGGCCACCTCTTCCCTAAGCCTGGGGCCCCCCGGGCCCCCCTGAGCTTTCCCTGCTGTGAGCACACAGCAGTGAGTGTGAAATAAACCCATCACCCAAGTGCAAGTGCCCCCAAGGGTCTGCTTCCATTGAGCTCGGTGTTCGCTCTTGTCCTATGTGGGTGGCCCCACTCCATTCCTGAGCTTCTCACCAGTGGCCACTAGTCACCCGGCCCTTGCCCCACCCACCCCTGCTCCTTCTGTGACACCCGCTGCTTGGCCTGGCCAGGAGGCTGGGGGCAGGATGCAGGGCCCTGAGGGTCAGGCCGCCTGGGATGGTCAGAACTCCTGAGTGCTGAGGTGTGGACCCAGAGGGACTGGGGAGAGGGCCTCCTGGGAGCAGAGCACGCAGCCCTTGGGATGAGGGCAATGGGGCATGTGTTGGCACGGATTCTGAGCAGGTGAATCTTGCTGGGTTTGCTCGGGGCCCTCTCCGGTGCCTCTTCACCCACATGCCCGAGCCGAAGGCGGGGCACCCTCCCTGCCCGCTGTGAACGGGCTGGCGGGGTGGTTCTGCTTCCTGCTTGTGCTCACAGGAGCGTGGGCAAGGCCTCTGCCTTCCTGTCCTCTCCCGTCTTGAAGCCCTCACAGGCCCTGCAGGCTGCGGGCAGGGACACAGCAGGTGCTGGTTTGGTGGAGAATGGGGGTGGTGGGGAGGGCGTGGGGAGAGGCACAAACCAGGACTCCCGGGCCCAGGGCCAGGGCTCCTGGCCCAGGAAGCAACGTCCATCCAAAAGGACACCACTCGCCGGCCGAGGCAGGTTCACACGGTTTATGTCCAACACCACGCTGCCGGGCCCGGGCGGGAGCGCGGCTCAGGCGGAGGTGTCGAAGAGGCGGTCGATCATGTCGCCCACCTGCTCCACGTGGTACTTGATGTACTTCTCAGGGTTCTTGGTGAAGGGCACGTTGGCGTACCTGCCGGGCACCAAGGTCAGCGGGGGGCCTGCCCTCCTCCCTGTCCTTCCCCGTGGGGTGTCCCTGGCGCCTCCCTGAGGCAGAGCCTGGCCTCGGGGGCGCGGGGCGGCTCACCTGTGTAGGAAGGCCCCGTAGGTCTCCTTGACGATGCGCTTCTGAGCCTGGCGGATCTTGTCCCTCTGCTCCGTGTCGGGGATGGCCCAGGCTTTCTGGATCTTGCACAATTCCTCCAGGCCGTCATTGAAGCCCTGCCGCCACAGGGGGGGGGGGGGGGGAAGGGCCCGAGACAAACGTCTGGGTGTGTCGCTCCCACAGCAGCAGCAGCAGGGAAGGGACGGGCTCCCAACTCACCTTGAACCGCTCCTTGATCACCTGCCGCTCCTTGTCCCGCAGCTGGGGGCCGAGACAGCTCTGCTCAGAGGCACCTCCCCCCCACCCACCCCGCCAGCACCCGAGCCCCGCCCGCTCCTGCTGCTCTCACCCTCAGGGACTCCTGTCCATCCCTCCCAGACATGGCGGACAGGGCGGCACCTGCCAGACTCCCCTCCCAGCCCAGGCGCTCAGCCCACCTTGACTCCCGGCTGGAACACGGGCAGGTTCTTCTCGGCGATGTAGTCAGTCACCTTTAGCCAGCTGCCGGGGGAGGGAAAGGGCGCCTCAGGCAGCTGCTCCTGGGCGGTTTGCTGTGTGTGTGTGTGTGTGTGTGTGTGTGTGTGTGTGTGTGTTACTGTTCTCTCTGGATCTACGTGTGTGTGTGTGTGTGTGTGTGTGTGTGTAAGGAGGGCAGGAGTCCATCTGGGTCACAACTAAGCGAAACACAACTGCGGTTTCTCCTCGGGAACAGGGGTGGAGATGCTCGCTTTTAGAACTGGAGCAGGAAACAGCAATCAGAAAACTGAACGAACGCTGGTACCATCAACTGGCTGCCCAGCGGCCCCCGGGCAGGAGGGCAGGAGGGCAGGAGGCGGAGTCCTGGGAAGGGAGCGGAGACACCTCCAGGGAAGGACACAGAGGGACACACAAACCCGCAGCAGGAGAGCGAGCGACGCTCGGCCACGGTCAAGCGCTCTGGCAGCCTGCTCTTCGCCGGGCCAAACACTGCCCACACTTTGTCGTCAGCCCTTCCACTACGCTCAGCCTCACCCTCCAGGCAGGCGGACTGCCTCTGCAGAGGCCGGCCCCGAGGTCCCCCAGGGAGCCAGCAGTGGGGGGAGGGTCCCATTGACACCTCATGATTTTTGACTACAACACAAGAGGATTGGGTCCACGGGCAACAGTTCCCGTTACTGGCCCCACTCCGCCCGGGCCCACTCCTGGGACTGAGAAGGGAGCTGAGTGTGGTGGGGGTGAGCGGGGCAGCCTCGCACCTGCGCTGGTACGTCTGGATCTGCTGCTCGATGTGCTCCCGGTAGGAGCGCTCGGCAGTCTTCTGCGTCACGGCCACCAGCTGGATCAGCTCCGACCTGGGGCGGGGCAGGGGACAAGGTAGAGGGGACGGGATCGGCGGGGGGCCTGGGCAGACTGCCCTCCCCCCACCTTCAAGAGCCCTAAGGAGGCGGCACGCACGCCCTGGTCCTGGGCGGCGAGGAGGAAAGCCCTCTCCCCCGGCACCTACTTCTCCAGGGCCTTGAGGATGTAGTTGTAGTTGTTGTGCAGGAAGATGGCGCTCAGAGCTGGGTCCTCGTACACCTTGGACTTGCTCAGCAAGTTCAGCTGCAGGTTACCCAGGACTTTACCTGCTCGGGAAAGGGGTGGCCATGCCCACGGGGCAGTTTGGCCCAAACCACCCAATCCCAGGCCCCACAAACCAAGTCCTGCCGTCACTCCTGTCCCTCCCTGACTCCAGGGCCACCAACCTCAGGAGCCTAGGCCCAGCCCCTCCCCCTGAACCAGAGGTCAGGCTGTGATTCCAGGGCTGGGGCTCAGGAGCACCGGGAATAGCAGGAGAGCACAGAGGCGGCGGGGCTGAGCAGGGATGGGGCGGGGCTGCCGCCGCTGCAGACTCACAGATGTAGGTGCTCAGGAGGCGCCTGCTGAACTCGGAGCTGTAGCTGGTGGCTGAGGAGCTGGTCTCTGAGAGAGAGAGGTTGGGCTATGGCAGCGGTGGCAGCTGGACCCCCTCTGGCCTCCCTCAGCCCCGGGGCAGCTGAGGGCCGGTGGGAGGGCCTCTGAGCCTGCCTGCCCTGGCTGCTGGGACAGAGGGCGCTGGGGCAGAGCTGGTGTCCGCAGGCTCAGGGCTCCGCCTGCTGCATGGAGCACTGCCTCAGACTCTCTCTGGAGCCCGGGCAAGCCCCTCTGTGGTGCCAGAGTGGGCACAATAAGCAGGAAAGCTGGCAAGACTGCCAGCCCCACCCCCTGCTGGGTGGCATCATGGCCACCTATCCCATCTGTCAGCATGGGAGCCAGAAAGGGCTCCATGGCCGCCCCTTCCCCACGTCCCACCTCCTCTACAGTGCTCTGCAGAGGGGACCTGCCCACACAGATTAGAGGCCAAGAGGGGTGAGGGGTGAGGGCAGGCGGGCAGCTGGGGGACTAGGCCGGAGGGTGGCCCAGCATGCCAGGGTCAGCAGGACGCTGCCTGGACAACCTCAGAGACAGAAAGTGGACGGAGGGAGCTGCAAGAGCGGGATGCACCCTGAAGGGACCAGGTGCCCTCTGACCCCCACTTCCCAATAGGTCCTGCGTCTGCCAGGGAACTCTGTCCCCAGGGAACCTCTCAGGGGCTGCTTACCTCGGGGGTCTAAAGGAATATTGTATGTGTCCCCGAGAACTACGGAGTGCAAGGCAGGGCGACAGGGGAGGAGGGAGACAAAGACGGGAGAGAGATGCAAAGTGCAAAAACAGGTTAGAAACAGCCGTGTCACCCCATCAAGCAGACCGCTCCCCACGACAGACAGACAGACAGCAGGACACACCCAAGCCAGACCCCCGGGGACCAGGGAGCACGCAGCAAAGTGGAGGCCTGAGAGCCAAGGCCGAGGCTGCCCCTGCTCTGCGCCTTCAGATGGGGCAGCAGGGAGGGCCCGGGCCCAGACACTCGGGCTGGGGCTCAGTGCTAGGAACGGCTGGAAAAGCGTGTACCCTCCTGTGCCAACCTCAGGAAGCTACCAGGCTGGCCCCAAGGTGGGGCCACGGTGTGAGGCCATTAGGAGACAGGCGAGCACAAGAGAAGGTGGGAAATGTGGACGAGGGCGGGCAGGAAGGGCACCTTCAAACACAAGCGTGCTCTCAGAGGGAGCCTGGGGCCGTCAAACCTCCTCGGCCCTCTGAGCCCAGCCCTGAGGGCCCAGCCAGCACAGGGTCCTCACCCCACTTCTCCAGGCAAGGAGGAGGAGGGGGGCACGGGGCTGGGGGCCCCGCTGGGAGGTGCCAAGTACCTTGGGAGGCCAGCATGGCACCTGCCGTCTCCTGGAAGTCCAGCAGCTGCTGCAGGAAAAGGATGGCCTGTGCGGGGAATGGCAGGAGGTCAGGTCACTCCCACAGCACGTCCTGTGTGCCGGGCCAGTTCAGTGCCGGGGTCTGGCCCCACCCCCGGGCCCGGGCAGCACCTACATTGCTGGTGAGCTCGTGCACGGTGCCGTCCTTGGGCATGTTGTACTCCTTGTCCGGGTCGTTCTGCGGACACAGCCACTCGCTGGAAGAGCCCCCAAGGAGGCCCCAACCCACCCACGCCCCTCAGCCTGCTCCTGGCGCCACCTCTTGGCAGACAGGTGTCAGGACACCCCTTAAGGCACAAAGGGGAGCAAGATGCACATGCAGAAAACGGGCAGGAGCCTCAGCCCGGAGCGCCCGAGAGGAGGCAATAGGTGCTAACAGGAGTCGCCCCTCCGCAGACCCGGCCCGCGGAGCCTGCGTCCCGAGTGGAAGGAGCGGGTCACCTTGATGTTGTCGGCAAAGTCCTCCAGCGCTTTGGCCCCCACCGTCTCCATGGAGGTGATGAGGCCGGGCAGCTTGTTCTTGGTGCTGGCGGCTGTTCCCTGAGGGCAGAGCAGAGCGGCACGGCTGCCCGTCCCCGCCGCGGGC